ACCCCGGCGCCGACGTACGCGTCATCTGAGAAGCCGTGCACATGGTCCGAGTAAGACCTGGGGGTCTGCCCGTCCTCCTCCTCCTCCTCCTCCTCCTCCTCCTCCTCCGCCTCCGCCTTCGCCTCCTCCTCCTCCCTCCTCCTCCTCATCCTCATCCTTCTCCACCTCCTCCCCCTCCTCCTCCTTCTCCTCCTCCTACTCCTTCTCCCCCTCCTCCTCCTCCGCCTCCCCCTTCTCCCACAAATCTCCCATCCACCGATCCATCCTCCACCCTCCTCCTTCTCACTACTCTTCCTCCTGTTAAGTTCTGCCCCCGACCACCGATAGTCAAGGAGAACGAATGCGGTGTTGCGCGCTGTCGGCCATTTTGGGCCCGCGGAGACGCCTGGAGCCTCTGGGGATCAGGACCTGAGGCGGCTGTGAAAGTTATATACAGCATTCCTCCTCCCCCGTCTCCTCCTCCTCCCACCCCCACCTCCTCCTCATCATTTTCCTCCTCCTCCTCCTCCTCCTCCTCCTCCTCCTCCTCCTCCTCATCGACGTCATCATCATCATCATCATCATCATCATCATCATCATCATCACCACACCACCACCACCACCATCATCATCATCATCATCATCAGCATCATCATCATCATCATCATCATCATCATCATCATCATCATCATCACAGCATCATCATCATCATCATTCATCATCATCATCATCATCATCATCATCATCATCATCATCATCATCGTCATCGTCATCGTCATCGTCATCGTCATCGTCATCATCATCATCATCATCATCATCATCATCAGCAGCATCGTCATCATCAGCATCGCCAGCAGCAGCAGCAGCAGCAGCGGCATCATCATCAGCAACCTGAGCATCGCCATCGTCATCATCACCGACATCATCAGCATTCCCCCCTCGGCATCAGCATCATCATCGGCAAGATCAGCATTATCAGCATTATCATCATCATCATCATCACCATCATCATCATCATCATCATCAGCATCATCATCAGCATCAGCATAATCATTAGCATCATCATAGTCATCATCATCATCATAGTCATCAGCATCATCATCAGCATCATCATCATCATCAGCGACAGCATCGCCATCATCAGCATCATCGTCATCATCGTGATCGTCATCGTCATCATCCCCATCATCATCATCATCATCATCATCAGCAGCATCATCAGCATCAGCATCACCATCCTAATCACCATGATCATCAGCAGCATCTGTATTACCCGCATCCGCATCATCATCAGCAGCATCACCATCAGCAGCATACACATCACCATCATCAATATAATCAGCAGCATCATCATCAGCCGCATCAGCATTAGAGTCAGCACGATCAGCATCAGCATCAGCATCGCCACTGCCATCATCATTCATCATCATCAGCATCAACATGCTCTGCATCATCGACATCATCAGCAGCACCACCCGTATCATCATCAGCATCATCAGCATCGCCACCGTCATCATCATCAGCATAATCATCATCGATGGCATCCTCAACATCATAGTCAGCATCATTAGCATCAGCATCGGTGCCGTTGTCATCGCCGTCATCGTCGTCACAAGAGTCATCATCATCAGCAACAGCATCAGCAGCATCACATGTCATCAGCATCGTCATAATCGTAGTCATCAGCATCAACATCCTCATCAGCCTCATCACCATCATCATCAGCATCAGCATCAGCAGCATCATAATCGTATTCAGCATCATCATCACCACCATCATCAACATTGTCAACTTCAACATCATCATCGTCGCCGTCATGATCATCATCACCATCAGCCTCAGATTCGCCATCATCATCATTATCATTACCATTATCGTCCGCATAAGGATCCCCATCATCCTTAGCATCATCAGCACCGACGTCGTCGTCGTCCGAACCATCCTGATCCTGATGCTGCTGGTATTCCTGTATTCCTTTATCCGTCCTCCCCAGGGGTTGAGGGAAGGGAGGATGGGGGAGGGGGAGAAGGAGAAGGAGGAGGAGCAGGAGAAGCGGGACGAGGAAGGGGGGAGGAGGAGGTGAAACAACAGGAGGACGGGGAGGAGGAGGAGGATGTGGAGCGGCTACCAGGGAGAAGGAGGAATAGGAGGGCGGGAAGAGGATGGAGAAACATTGACGAAGCAGAGCGTCGGAAAGAATGGAGAAGGACGGATAAGGAATCAGCGAGATCAGACTCAGGAGGCGAGGGAACGGTTTCGTCCAGCTGGCCAGTGGACATCGCTGACACAGCCATCCTCACAACACCACTTCTGACGCGAATGGCGACTGCGTCGCGCCGACCTCGTACTCCTGATCCTCGTACTCCTTCTCCTCCTGCTCCTCCTCCTCTTCCTCCTCCTCCTCCTCTTCCTCCTCCTCCTGCTGCTCTCTCCCCCTTTATCCACTTATTTCGCTATCCTCACTCGCGTTATTTTCCTCCCTCTCAGTTGAAGATTCGACTGCGCTCGAGCCGACTGGCCC